TTTCAGATAAACAGTTTTTTTTAAATAACCGGACGTTTTTAATAAGTTAAAACAACGGTTTTTCTAAAGTTAAGTAAAGATTTTTCACGGTAGCACCCCAAATCAGTTTCGTAAAGTAAAAATGTTTCAGTTTTTCAAAGACTTTGCGAATAAACGCGCTACTCTGATTTACTAGTAAGGTGGGGTGTTACAGTCTAGACTCTCAGTTTTCGACCTCACCGGTCTCGACTCTCGGTTTTTGACCTCAGCGTCTCGACTCTCGGTTTTCGACCTCGGGAGTCTCGACTCTCGGTTTTCGACCTCAGCAGTCTCGACTCTCAGTTTTCGACCTCAGCGGTCTGGACTCTCAGTTTTCGACCTCAGCGGTCTCGACTCTCGATTTTCGACCTCAGTGGTCTCGACTCTCGGTTTTCGACCTCAGCGGTCTCGACTCTCGGTTTTCGACCTCAGCGGTCTCGACTCTCGGTTTTCGACCTCTGCGGTCTCGACTATCGGTTTTCGACCTCAGCGGTCTCGACTCTCGGTTTTCGACCTCAGCGGTCTCGACTCTCGGTTTCGACCTCAGCGGTCTCTCGATTCTCGGTTCTCGATTTTTTACCTCAGCGGTCTCTCGATTCTCGGTTCTTGATTCTTGGTTTTCGACCTTAGCGGTCTCTCAATTCTCGATTTTCGACCTCAGTGGTCTATCGGTTCTTGGTTTTCAACCTCAGCTGTCATTCAGTTCTGGGCTTCAGTTTTCGACTTCAGTTGTCATTCGGCTTTTGGCTTTCGGTTTTTGACCTCGGTCGAAGGACCTTCAATTATTTATCTCAGTGGATGGTCATTCGATTTTCGACCCATTACGGCCTCTCGAGGCTCATTGGAAGTTTTATGATTATTTGGTGATCGAGAACTTATGCAAATTATAACCTCAAAGGCAGGTTGACGAAAACGGCTCGAAGAGACATCTCACTCTTGGATCGAGTGATGATTACTCGACCAGAGTGGGGGGGACTAGATGATATAGGATATTATACTAGACCGGGTTAATGGATAAAGCGAATACATATTGGAGGATAAACCCACTAAGACATCTAAGCATAACGATATGGGCAAAGCCCAACTTGGGCCCAAAAGGTACACTCTCACTATAAAAGGGGGCCAAGGTATCTCATTCTCTGATTCTCTACTCATTCCATACTACACTATTTCTCTCTTGATCTGAGCACTGACTTAAACATCGGAGGCTCGACGCCGGGGCCACCCCCGGCGTTGGGTTCTGCAGGTACGGAGGCTGTTTGAGTTGAAGGAGTCGGGTGAAATTTATTACACTCGTATTAAATAGTAAGATGATAAACATTATCAAAATATATATATAAAAAAAAAAAAATTGGGAAGTAAGATAAAAGTGAATACGTATTTAGAATTTTGTAATTAATGATATAGAAATCAAATTTGAAACACTATCTAGAAAAGTGAAGCGATGTTCTACTTTTTTATCAGAGATTATATTGAATTAATTTTATAACATTATTTGAAAAAAAAAGAATCTATGTTCCCAAAAGATCCGGATGATATAAATAATATAGTTACTTTAACTAATTTTTAACTAACTCCTATGAAGAAAGAAATAAAATCTATACTCTCATTTAAAATTTCAAAATTCAAATTATTTACAAATTTTTTAAATTTTGTAAAAGATACCGTCGCTGCTTAGCGTATATGATACTTTGATGTTAAGAAAAGATCTCTTGCAGGAAGGTTGACTAGAGATTTCTTGTAAAAACACTAGCTCTACTTAGTCCATAATGAGAAGAGTTTCAAGCAGTCAGATTCGCAAGAGATGGCGGGACGAGTGTGCCCTCGGCCCATAAAGCTATCCCGCCCTAACAAGGATCCAGCGCCGATGCAGTTGGTCTATAACAGTAGTTATCAAGCTCTTAGAGAAAGATCATTTCTGGGAATATCAATCAATCCTTGCTCAGGAGGAGATTCTCTGGCATAAAAAATTTCGGACCCCGCCAAGAGAAGAGTATCCTCAACAAAATCCCACCTTAGAAAATCATAGGACAATCCTCGCCCTGTATTCCTAAGTGCAAGCTTCTCAAATGAAAGTGATTTGCTTCCGCTTTCCTTCAACCTAGTGATGAACTCGCCCTGTAAAACCAGCCAACGTAAATTTGAAATGTTTAGGTGGGATTTTACCTACTATTTTAATAAATTCTTGGCCTTACTTTATAGTAATACATGTTTGCAAACATAATTTTGAAGTTTGAAAATGTTTGTAAAAAAGCATTATTTGGTATAATGGGTGGTTAAAAAAAAATAATGGAACATTTTGTTTTAGGTAATTGATGATTAAGTTATGTTTGGTAGACAAATAAGTTAGCTTATAGTTTATTTGATTAGTTTATAAGCTCCTTGTATTCAAATAAGCCTCGTTTGGTAGGACGAGATTTTTTACTATGCTCGAGCTTATTTGATAAACTTCCTTAGATAGCTTTTCAAATAACTTAGTTGAATTTTTTATTCCAGCTAGCTTATCAACTAATTTTACCTTGATACTTTTATCATATAAGCTAGCTTATCAGCTATAAGTCATAAGCTATAAATTATAAGTTAAGAAATTACTTACAAGTTATCAGCTAGCTTATCAGCTAGTTTTACCAAACATAGCTAACTTATCAGCTAATTTTACCAAACATAGCCGAAGTAATCTTACAAATATACTTATTATATCAACTAGTTTTTCATTATTTAATCATTAACTATTACATCACCGAACATACTTATATAAGTATCCATAACAAGCTGCATGGAAAATATACGCTCGGAGGTCAAATGTCGAATTTTCTCACTGCTATAATTACCCGAAAACACATTATTGTTACATATCAAGCTCCTAATGATACATAAAGTACATAAACACAACGAAGCACTTTCACTCATCAAAGGTGAGAATGGAAACGAGTGATTCGTATTCTGGAAAACGAGAAACGAGCTCAACACGCTTTGCCAGCTCGAAATCATCAAACTGGAATGCAGGCGCACAGGTACATCCCACAAGAGAAAAATGTTGTTCAGAGTCCCTTGTGGCTCGTTTGGCTGCTAAACCTTCAGATGAGATGTCAATATCCTTAGTTGGAAATGCACCGAACCAAACATTTGGAGGGACAACGTGCTGTACCACTTGATTCTCAGCAAGCGGGTCAGGCCCAAGACATGTCAGTTTCACACTCCCATCATTTTCGTTTAGCTCCACAATCTAAGGTTGCAAATATAAAAACGTGAAAAATATGTGGAAACAGTAAAGAAAAAAAACTTTGTTAGCTGAGCCTTGTTCTAATAGCTTACATAAGGATTAGAACATATATTGGTTCATCTTGTTAGTTGAGCCTTGTTCTATGTTAGCTTACATAAGGATTTTAGAAAACAAAGATCTTTTAATCTTTTTTTTTTTTTTTAATCTTGAGATGAAAAAAGAAAAAATAAGGCAACTAAAAGTTTTTCAGTTTCAAAAGCATTATGTTTAGCGAAATTTCATCTTAAAGAATATTTCCCAAGATCATGTCACTGGAGATGGATAATGTAAGAAGGATACAATTTGTGCTCGTCATTATACTCGGTACCATTCTAATTGGCTGAAGAACAGAACAAACTACAAAATAAAATCTGCTATATAGTAAGTGAACAAAAGAACTTAACATTGTTTAATTTTGCGATTTTGATTCTTCTATTAAGAGGCAATTAGAAGTTACCGTTAAAGGTTCTCCCATGTAAAAATGCCATGTTTCGGCACAAGGTATGCGGTGTAGGTGAGAAACACTTCCAGAAGGCAATAAGAAGTATATGCTTGTGCTGACCGGTCGATCGACCTTATCTGTGTGGAAAACTATAATTAGAATCAAGCAGATTATATAAAAAAACAGAAAATAGATTAAAATAGACAATATCCACCCCAGAATTCCCAAAATTCACAAGAATGATAACAACAAACATATAACATTACGGAAAACTCTGCCAGCAACACATACAAAGACTATGAGTTTAGGATAAAATGACAAAGGTTTTCATTACTGAAAAATCCTTCTTTTGTTCGTATTTTAACTTCATTTTCTCTTTGATTCTTCAAGTCCAAGTGACCCGTTTATGATTTAATAATGTACGTGATCACTTTCAGACACATTTTTCCGCGCATCAGAAGAAAGTCGAATTATCCTTGAGCCTCAGAACAAAACTAAAACGGTACTTTCTCGCTGCTCATAAGAATGACACCAAGAAGCTCTTAAACATGCCAATGGTAAAAATGTATCCAATTTAGTTGGCATATCAGTTAGCACAACTAACTAACTAAATCATTCTGGATTTCTGAGCAAACCCGAAAGGCAAACCAACAATTCTTGAGCTATCCTTCCACTGAATTTGAATATATATGTCGAGTAACAAAAACGAGTCGAACAACGTAAAATCATTTGTCAGAGGATGTCGATTCGAAAACATATATAAAGAAAATCTGCAAATTTGTTTCATTAAATCACATAATTATACTCCAACAAACTAATTTGGCACAGAAAATGCATTGTTTTTTTGTTTTCGCAGAGCAGAAAGACCAATCATCGTATTCGTATGTCATAAACAATAAAAGTCCCAAAATGAAGAAGACGTGCAAAAATCAACGTGCTAAGCGAGCAACAATAAGAATCAGTTAAAAAGGACTAGAAACATACCGATCGAGAGACAAAAAAACGAAGAAAGCACAGAAAAATCACCTCGATTAAACGAAAATTTAAAGTACCCAAACCAATACGGAAAGAATACCCTCGAAAAAAAAAAGCATCAGGATTTTGGGAATTTTGAATCTGAAAACTCACATTGAGGAGGAAGATGAGATCTGGAGAGATGCACGGAGGTGTCTCTGAACGTTTCTGCGTAAAACCCGCCTTCTGGATGAGGCTTCAGATTCAACTTCGCCACAATTTTTGACGCCATTTTTGTTTTCCTTCGCAGGAGATGAACACGACGGGGTTTTAGAGGCGTTGGCCGATAAATTTAGTAAACGCCGTCCCTTTTCGATATTTACCACCTCAACAGACTAATTTATCCTTTATTCATTTTTTTTTAAAAAAAGAGATGTCTCTCTTTAGAATTATTTACCGGCCAAACCGAGCCTCAAAAAATTCTGAAAACACCTCTGAATAATTCCGACGAAAAAATGCTTTTCAACAAGACCGGTCATGCAGCGGCCGACCGGTCAAACCGGCGAAAATAGTTTTTTTCTTTTTTTTGGGCCGGTCGGCCTCGAATGCCGTCGTAGCCGTGCCGGCCTTCTTTTTGCCGGTTGGCCAGCCCATGTACGGCCGGTTTTACCGGTTGGCCGCACCATGCACTGCCGGTTTTGCCGGTTGACCGCACCATGCACGGCCGGTTTTGCCGATCGGCCGGCCAATTTTTTTTATTATCAAATTTTTAAATTATATAAATTTTATTAGAATTTAATATCTCATAGTTAGAATTTAGAAATTGTTAGAGTATAAATTATGATATAGCCACACTGGCTCATAGCGGTTCATATCATCACGGTTCGAAACTATCAAGTCGACTTCGACACAGTCGACTCCACCAGTAAGGTTCCACGATACTCAGTTAAGAATCCCGGCTCTCGACCGAGTCGACGTACACCTGTCGACTAGAATAAGTCGACCTCTGGCAAGACAACGGTCAGACGTATTAGGGTCTACTAACGGTTGAATGCAGCCCAGTCGACTCGACGCAATATCTCAGGTCGACTGAAGGAGTCTCGCAGTTCGTGGTTCTCGATAGCTTTGACACACCTCAGCATATTGAAGAAGAGTTAAGGATAAGAAGGAAGCTAAGGAAGGATCTAGATGCTGACTAGGAAGTAGGCAGAATACGAACCGACCGGGGTATTCTGGACATTTCCATTAAGTCGGCCGGGGCACTTTGGGGACTTCAGGTAAATATTGCACTCCTATATAAAGGACTGAGGTAATCCCAAAACCCTAACTCCCATTCATTCCATATTCTTTCATTACTGCTGCTGCTCTCATAGCAGCTCTCCTGATCTCTTTCACATACTGACTTGAGCGTCGGAGGCTCTACGCCGGAAACCCCTCCGGCGTTGAGTTCTTGCAGGTGTTCTTGCGGTTCAACAACGGTTCGAACGCCATCACATCAGATCTAAGCTCATTCACACCGGTTCATCCCAGATTCGGACGTTTTCCCATTGGACCGTTCCAGATCTGAGAAGAGACCCATCATTTTGGCGCCGTCTGTGGGGAGTTCTTGAAGGAAGTAAGAGCTTTACACCTAGTTTGGATCTGTTACCGATGGCCGACAAGGAAGGACCACAGAAAAACTTGAACGAAGATTTCAGGGCGGCGTGGACTGACAAGCGACCCCCGCCGATTCCCAACCTCAGACCGCCACTCCCAGTGTTCGGTTTCCCACCATTTGGGGCACACGCGCCGTCAGGAGGGCGTACGGGGGAAGAAACGCCCATCACCCCACCAGGAGTCAAGATCCCAGTGCTCACTCAAGGAGAGACCAGTCTCGTGAGAAGCACGAGCGGAGAAGTTAACGGTCGTGATTCAATCGAGACACTTCTAAGTCTGGGAAAGCAGCATGGACCGCCCGAGCCAGGACACAGGCCGCCGCCCCAAGGCGAAGAGCAAATGTTGACCATAACACGGGGCGAGATGCAGAGGATGATTGCCGAAGCTGTGGCTGCCCAAATCAAACAAACACCAGTCGAACAACCCAGGGTGGAGCAACCCCGAATCGAGCAAGCTAGGATCGAACAACCTCAAAATGAGCAGCAACCTCCTGAACGCGAACAACAGGCACAATCGCATGAGAGGCAGAACAGGAGGGTAGACGAGGAGGAGTCCTCTGTCAGAACAGTCAATCCACAAGCCAGAAACGACACGCTGGAGCAGCTGTTAGCACAGGTCCGAGACTTGCAGGCTCGGGTCGAGGGAAGAAAGACGGGAAGCTCGAGGGGACACCCTTTTTCACAACATATTCTAGATGCCGACGTGCCTCAAGGGTTCAGGGAGCTTAATATCTGGTATGACGGGTCGACTGATCCCTCCCGACATCTTAGAAGTTTCGAAAATATGGCAGTATTGCACCGATACAACGATCCTGTTCAGTGTCGAGCATTCCTGACGACCCTGCGAGGGCCTGCGCAGGATTGGTTTCATCAATTGCCCCCGGGGGCCGTCAGGGATTTCGATGGATTTAGCTCGAGTTTCCTAAACCAATTCGCAAGTGTGAAAGCCTAAGAAAAGTCTTACCTTACTTTGATAGGTATGCAGTAGAAGGAAGGGGAATCATTGAGGGACTACGTGGCGAGGTACACGAGGGCATGTGTCGACGTCCCCTCGGCCACTGAGGAGATCAAGTCGGGAGGACTCACTCGAGGGCTACTCCCGGGATTGTGCAGAAATTCCCTAGCGAAGCGGCCCGGGAGGACGTTCGATGAAGTATTAGGAAGGTGCGCCAAATACATGAATGTCGAGGAAGCTGAAGCCGACTTTCTGCAAGCGGCTAAGCCAAAAACTGAGCCTCGGGACGAGAAGAAGGACAAAAAGCTTGTCGCGACAACTGAAAGGAAAGGATCCCCAAGAGCCGAGAGAGAGGGGCGACCAAGGGGGTGGAGGACAGCCCAATATACTCCTCTGTCGGCCTCGCGTGCAAGGATACTGGAGGTTATGGAGAGAGAGATCCGTGACAACGTTGTTAGGTGGCCACAAACGAGAAAGGACGGGCCGACAAAACCTAAAAGTAACTTGTATTGTCGATTTCACAAAGACTACGGCCATAACACCGATGAATGTCGGCACTTGAAAAATGAAATTGAGAGACTAATCAAAGCAGGCCATCTGAAGGAGTTCGTTTATAAAGATCGAGAACGACTCAGTCGACGGAGGGAGAGGAGCAAAAGCCCTCATAAGAGGGCGAGAACACCCGATAAGGAAGAGCTGCCCCAAAAAAGAGGAGTAATTCATATGATATTTGGAGGGCCAACTGATGGCGATTCAAACCGGGCTAGAAAAGCATATGCTCGAGGGCATCATGGAAAAACCGAAGTGCAGCAGGTCGAAGAGGATGGTCCAGTGATGAATTTCGGACCAGCAGACGTAGGAGCAGTTGAGAGACCTCATAACGATGCCTTGATGATCACAGCCCAGATATCGGGCTACGAAGTCCAGAGAATCTTTGTCGACACAGGGAGCTCGGTGAATGTGATTTTTTTTCGATTGCCTTAAACGCATGGAACTCGACATTGAACTCTCACCTCTCCACACTTCACTTTTTGGATTTAATGGCTCGGAAGTCGCCCCCCTGGGGGAAACCATTCTCGCTGTCGTCCTCGGGGAAGGCGACTTAAGGAAGGTAAAAATGGTGCGATTTGTTGTGGTCGACGTCGAGTCGGCTTATAATGTGATTCTGGGAAGGCCAGCACTCAACGCATTCCAAGCGGTGGTCTCAACCTATCATATGAAGCTAAAATTCCCTGTTGGAGATAAGGTAGGAGAGGCCCGAGGCGACCAGAGGCTGTCGAGAACCTGCTATCAGATTGCAGTAAGGACAAACCAACGAACGGAGGTGAAGGAAGGAAAAAAGTCGGTGTCAAATGAAAAAAGACGAAGGGAAGGTGATCTTGAGCCACATGGGGAATTAATGGAAATTCAAATCGGGGAGAGAGAGGAGCAGACTACGAAAATAGGGCGAGAGCTGGAAGAAGAGTTACGTCGACAATTGATGGGGCTGCTGAAAGAATTCAGGGATATATTCGCTTTCTCCGCTGAAGAGCTAACAGGAATCGATCCCGATGTCATGGAGCACAAGCTTAATGTCGACCCCCTGAAAAAGCCCGTGAAGCAACGACTTAGACACCATGGCGCAGAAATCGACAAAGCTATAGAAGTCGAGGTGAACAAATTGTTGAAAGCCAAACATATCAAAGAAATTCAATTCCCAGAATGGATATCGAACACAGTGATGGTAAGGAAAGCGCTAAATAAGTGGCGTATGTGTATCGACTTTCGTGATTTAAATTTAGCTTGCCCGAAGGACCACTACCCCCTGCCGAGAATCGACCAGCTGGTCGACTCTACTGCTGGCTGTCAATTGTTAAGCATGATGGACGCGTCCCAGGGGTACCACCAAATTCCCTTGGCGCCTGAGGATCAAAGCAAAGTTAGCTTCGTGACGAGCAAAGGGACGTACTACTATGTCGTTATGCCTTTCGGACTCAAGAACGCAGGGGCAACATACCAAAGGTTGATGGATCGAATGTTCAAATCACAGATCGGGCGAAATATGGAAGTTTACGTGGACGATATCTTGGTAAAAAGCAGGTCCTCGATCTCGCATGTGGAGGACTTAAGGGAAGCGTTTACGATACTAAGAACATTTGGGATGAAGCTGAATCCGAGTAAATGTGCCTTTGGAGTGAGGGCAGGACGATTCCTGGGCTATATCGTGACGAAAAGAGGCATTGAGGTGAATAAGGATAAAGTGCAAGCCATACTCGACATGACCCCACCAAAGAATATTAGAGAAGTACAAGTCCTGACAGGTCGAATTGCAGGCCTAAGTCGATTCATAGCCCGGGCGGCGGAAAGGAGCTTCCTTTTCTTCAAGTTACTCAAGAAAAAAGCTTTCCAGTGGGGTGACGAGGCTCAGATGGCGTTTGAAAAACTGAAAGAGTTTTTGAGCGAGTTACCCTTGTTGACAAAGCCAGAGCCTGGCGACGAGTTGGTACTCTATATCTCGGTGGGAATCTTTTCTTTGAGTTCTGTGTTGCTGCGAGAAGCGGAAGGGGCTCAACAGCCGATCTATTATACAAGTCGAGTGCTCCAGGGCGCAGAAACAAGGTATTCTGAGGTCGAGAAGGCCGCATTAACGTTGGTGCTCACAGCCAGAAAACTGAGGCCGTATTTCCTGAACCATGTGATAAT